GGGGTCTCTGTGAGGGGTGCTGGGCACCCAGAGGTTCCCCCCCCCATCGCCAGGGGTCTCTGTGAGGGGTGCTGGGCACCCAGGGGTTCCCGGCACCCAGGGGTCCCCCCATCGCCAGGGGTCTCTGTTAGGGGTGCTGGGCACCCTCTGGACTTTGCGCTGTGACGGGGGGGAAAGGGTTACGCAGTGCAGGAGAGGGGAGGTGCATGCGTCTGGACAGGACATAGACCCCTTGCAGCCACAGCCGGAGGGAGATTTTCCTGTCCTTGCCAGATCGGGGGCCCAGGACGGCAGGTGAGAGTCTGGGCCTCACAGATCCCAAGGCACCGCTGTGCCCATCTTGTCCGACTCCAGCCGGCCAGAGCCCTGCAGCCCCCAGGCGGACTGAAGAGTGGCCAGTGCTGGAGGAGCCGCCCGGCCCCTGGGACGGCCAGTGGCTAATCACACTCCCAGGTAACGGCCCCATTCACAGCCTGGATGCGTCTGGCTGCCCCGGCCAGCCTGGAGCGCGTTCAGTGGGGGAGCCCCGTGTAAATACCCCCCTCCATGGCGCTGATCGTCACCCCTCACCCTTCTGTTCAGCTGCGTCAGCGGCTGGTGGCCACCTGGTCACGGGCCAGCCCAGGCTCGGGGCAACCCGGGTGGATCCTGTTCTGTACACGGCCCCGAGGCTCCTGCCAGAGCCAGGGTGCTGGGCTGGACAGGCCATCGCGTGCCCCAGCCTGGCCGTCCCGGTGTTCACAAACACATCGAGCTCTTGGCATTTCTCACTCTAAGGCAGCTTCTCCGACCCCCCTCCAATGTATCAACCTCCTGCCTGAATAATCCAGGAGCGTCTCAACCAGAAAAGATCCACAGCCAACGCCTACGGCAGGAGCCGTCTGTTCAAGCCGCGCCGGAGACGCTAAGGGCCTCTCTCGACAGATCCTTATTTCAGCAGCTACAGAAAACGCCAGCCCTCGGCCATCACAACCAGCCTCTTTCTGGCCATTCCCTAATGGCCAGCGAGCCACCGGACCATCACTGACAACAGCTGAGAGCCAGATACAACTCGGCTCCTGCGTAACGTCAGAACGGCCAGACTGGGTCAGAGCAAGGGTCCATCTAGCCCAGTGTCCTGCCTCTGAGAGTGGCCAGTGCCAGGGGCCCCAGAGGGAATGAACAGAACAGGGAATCATCAAGTGATCCATCCCCTGTCACCCATGCCCAGCGTCTGGCAAACAGAGACTAGGGACACCATCCCTGCCCATCCTGGCTAATAGCCATTAATGGACCTATCCTCCACGAACTGATCTAGTTCTTTTTTGAACCCTGTTATAGTCCTGGCCTTCACAACATCCTCTGGCAAGGAGTTCCACAGGTTGACTGTGTGTTGTGTGAACATATACTTCCTTTTGTTTGTTTTAAACCTGCTGCTTATTAATTTCATTTGGTGACCCTGGTCCTTGTGTTACGTGAATGCATAAATAACACTTCCTTATTTACTTTCTCCACACCAGTCATGATTTTATAGACCTCCATCATATCCCCCCATAGTCGTCTCTTTTCCAACCTGAATAGTCCCAGTCTTATTAATCTCTCCTCATACAGAAGCTGATCCATACCGGGGTGACCAGATCTGCCTGCAGCGTTCAAGGGGTGGGCGTCCCGTCGGTTTATATAGAGGCAACAGGACAGTTTCTGTCTTATTATCTGTCCCTTTGCTAACAGTTCCCAACATCCTGTTAGTTTCTGTGCCTTATGCTGCGCACTGCCTGGATGTTTTCAGAGAACTCTCCACCATGGCTCCCGCATCTCGCCCTGGACTCCGCTTCAACGCCAAGAAGTGTGCGTCCCTTCACGTTGACGGGAGCAAGAGGGACTCGGTACTGATGACGGAGTTCCTCATCCAGGGCGAGTCCGTCGTTCCTCTGGCGGAGGGGCAGGCGTACCAACACCTCGGCACACCGACAGGCTTCCGCGTCCAGCAGACCCCAGAGGACACCATCGGGGGGATCCTGCAGGACGTCGCCAAAATCGACACATCCCTGCTGGCGCCGTGGCAGAAGATCAACGCCCTCAACACCTTCCTGATCCCCCGCATCGCCTTCGTCCTGAGGGGATCCGCCGTGGCAAAGGTGCCCCTCAACAAGGCGGACAACGCCATCCGGAAGCTAGTCAAAAACTGGCTGTCCCTGCCCCGGGAAGCCAGCAACGAACTCATATACATCAAGCACAGACACGGTGGTGCTGGCGTCCCCCGCATGGGAGACCTCTGTGACATTGCGGTCCTCACGCACGCCTTCCGCCTCCTGACGTGCCCGGACGCCAAAGTGAAGAACGTTGCAATGACCGCCCTCCACGCCGCCACCGAGAAACGAATCGGCAGACCTCCCTCCGACCAAGATGTGGCCACCTTCATGAGCGGCTCCCTGGATGGCGACTTCGCCCGGGACAGGGGAGACTTCGCCTCGCTGTGGACCCGCGCCCGCAATGCCACGCGCCGGCTGGGAAAGCGCCTGGGCTGCCGCTGGGAATGGAACGAGGAACGGCAGGAGCTGGGAGTCCTGATACCGCGGATCGGAACGGAGGACAACATCATCGTCACCCCCGGAGCCAGAGGCGTGCTGGAGAGATCACTGAAGGCCGCCGTCCACGCGCTCTACGTGGACACCCTGAAGAAAAAGCCGGACCAGGGTAAAGTCTTCGAAGTAACCAGCAAGTGGGACTCCAGCAACCACTTCCTCCCCACAGGCAGCTTCACCCGGTTCGCCGACTGGCGGTTCATTCACCGCGCCCGGCTGAATTGCGTCCCGCTCAACGGTGCCATCCGCCACGGGAACCGGGACAAACGTTGCAGGAAGTGCGGGTACGTCAACGAAACCCTGCCCCACATCCTATGCTGCTGCAAGCCCCACGCCAGAGCCTGGCAGCTACGCCACAACGCCATCCAGGACCGTCTAGCGAAGGCCATCAACCCGCGTCTGGGAGAGATCACCGTCAACCGCGCCGTCCCCGGCACTGACAGCCCGCTGCGCCCGGACATCGTCGTCACGGACGAGGTGGGGAAAAAGATCATCCTGATCGACGTAACGATTCCGTTCGAGAACAGGACCCTGGCCTTCCGCGAAGCCCGAGCCCGCAAGCTCCAAAAATACGCCCCCCTGGCTGACACCCTGCGGACTAAGGGTTACGAGGTGCACGTCGACGCTCTACTCGTTGGGGCCCTGGGTGCCTGGGACCCGTGTAACGAACGCGTGCTGAGGACCTGTGGGGTGGGCCGTCATTACGCGCGGCTCATGAGACGCCTCATGGTCTCGGACACTATCCGTTGGTCCCGGGACATTTACATCGAGCACATCACCGGCCACCGCCAATACCGAGAGTGAGCCGGGGAGACCTCGTGCACCCACACACACCCCCTGCTGGACCCTATCCCCTGAGCCCTAAACCCACCAAACCTAGCTGAATCCTGCCACGTGAGGGTCACCCCATCCCCATTACCCAGCCCGCTTGCTTATACCCATGACTGTCCCTGCCTCCCGTATGGGTGGTGGACCCTCACCGTCTATCGACTGTCTCCTGATCCCGCCCACCGGTTACCCACCCCTCATTGGGGACATTGCAGTGTGTATATACTATGTGTGCTGCCCAGCCCCAAAACACCAACATGCCCCTATACTCTGTATGTTACCCCCAATGACCAATAACTAACGCTTCAAAGTTTCTGTATCGTTTACTTCTTAAATATTCTCTAATAAAATTTAAATCTGTCCCTTTGCTAACAGTTCCCAACATCCTGTTAGTTTCTGTGCCTTATGCTGCGCACTGCCTGGATGTTTTCAGAGAACTCTCCACCATGGCTCCCGCATCTCGCCCTGGGGCAGCTGACGTTCACCCTGAATACAAAGAAACTCCCAGGCGTGGTGGGCCCATGGCTCCCGACAGCCAATCAGGGGGGTTGGGGGGCTGAGTGACCGTGGGCAGGTGACTGGTTTGTTGCCTTCAGGCCGGCTGGAGCAGGGACCCAGACAGGACAGGGTGGAGCAGGCTGAATACCAGGGTTCAGAAGACACTCAACCTTCAGCCCCCAGCTGGCTCCACACACCCAGCCTCCCCTGCCCTGGTTTGTCCCTGCAGGTGTGGCTGGGTTTGTATTTCCTTTCCCTGCTCCCCGCCCCAGCAGCCAGCCTGTGCGCGTCCCTCCTAGACCAGCCAGCGGGGCAGCTTGGGATCTCTCACCCCCGGACTGACAGAGCCGGAGATCCGGCCCAGATGGGCTCCCTGGCGGCTCGGCTGGGCGGAGCCCTGGTTTGATGAAGCGAGCAATTTTCTGGATGGTTTGCATGAACACTGTGTGTGCCTCAGTTTCCCTGTGTGCTGCGTGTGTAAGGACGGGTGGCGGGGGAGGGGATATAGGGGGCTGGGGACAAGGAGCAGCCGGCCCATGGGGACGGACCCAACTGGCTGGGACTGGCCAGGCCGAGGCCCCTGAGACCTGCCTGGGCTGGATTCAGACGTACAATAAACCTCCTGTTTGAGGCTGGCTGGGTCACTGCTGGGAGCGACTGGGGGAGGGGGCGTTGCTCCCTCTGGGGTGGGGGTCCCGGGGCCCACGGCAGAGCCAGGCTGCAGAAGGCTCAGAGGTGGGTCCCAGGCCCGCTGGCCCCAGTGAGCGAGCGCCACCCTCGCCGGGGCACTGTGGGGCATTGCTCCCGGGGCCATTCGGAGCCGAGAGCCGGGCCCGGCCTGGCTCGGCCGCATGGCCCATGTCTGAGCCTTCGCTGCTCTATGCCAAACTGGGGCCATCCTGGGGCCGGGGGCCAACGAGCCCGTCTCTGCTTGGGGGACACGCCCAGGGGTCGCTGCTGGTCCTGCCTGAGCCGCGCTGGTCCCTGCAGAGGGGCCAGGTCTGTGCCCAGGAGTCGGGCTCAGCCGGACCCACCGGGCAGAGCTCACGGCGGGCAGCAGGAGGGCTGGAGCCCCCAGGCTCAGCCTCGGAGGCGGTGAGGCGCGTGGCCAGGCCTGCAGGAAGAGTGGGTCCCCTGGGGGCTCTGGCACGCCGAGGGGCTCCTGCCAGGGGGGCTCAGTGTAGATAAATCTCTGATAATTTTCATGTGACTTTACGTTGTGCCTCTTCATATAACCTTGTGGTGGGTCTACCCACGTGTGACCTCTGTTTTCATGGGACTTTGTACCAAAGCCTCATTTAGAAACTTTGCATTGCCCTTGGTATAATATTATAGCCCCTAAGGATAGAATAAAATAGAAGAAAAATTTCTTTTTGCTAGCAGTAGAACAAGAGCTCTCCCCCCCCCCCACCTCTTAATCAATTGCCCTGTTGAATGAATGAGGTGTGAATAAGCAAGGCATGGAAGGCAGCACCTCCA